GTGTTCACAGATGCCTCAGACAAAGGGCTGGGCATGGTGCCAATGCACACTGGTGCAAACACCCCATCGTGTACCTGAGCCGGAAGCTGCTGCCCCAGGAGCAGAGCTATGCGGCCATAGAAAAGGAATGCCTCGCCATGGTGTGGACTCAAAGGGCTGCAGCCGGATCTATTTGGGCATCACTTCATTGTGTACACTGACCACTTGCCCATGCCATAGCTCACCAGATGAAAGGAGCCAATGCCAAGCTCCTGAGGTGGAGTCTATCTCTCCAGGATTATGACATGGAGGTGGTCCATGTTAAAAGGAGTGCAAATGTTATAGCCGATGCTTTGTCCCATAGAGGGAGGCCTGAGCTTCCCCAGGTCACTGGCTAAAGTGACCCCACTCAGTTCGGTCTCAAAGAGGGGAGAGATGTGACGAAGTGGGGATTTTCCCTTGTTATGTTGTATGTGAGCATATGTGAGTCTTACTGTTTTGCATTAATACTGTGTGTGCCTCAGTTTCCCTCTGTGCTGCACCAATGCCTAGGTGGTGGGAATAAGGGTGTGTGACTTTGGCTGAGACCCTCAGGGGCAGGTGAGGCTGCTCCAGCTGTCTGCATGTAGGCTATGGCCGGTGCCCTTCGTAACCTGAGACCCAGGAGGGGAATGCAACCAGGTGACATATTGCCTAGGAAGTGAGACACTCACCAGGGGGAGGAGCGACAGGGGTGTCTGAGGTCGGGTCGCTGGTAGCTGTGCAGTCTGCTTGCGGGGACTGGAGGGGGGAGTCCAGGGCATCTGGCCTGGGATTCCCCCAAGATGGACTTGTCTGAAAGTCACTGATTTCCGTGCTAATAAGTTCTGTTCTACACTGTGTTCCTGTCGACTAATAAACCTTCCGTTTTATGCTGGTTGAGAGTTACTGCTGACTGCGGAGTTGGGGTGCAGAGCCCTCCGGCTTCCCGAGGAGCCCTGCACAGGCGGACTCACTATGGGAAGTGCACGGTGTGGAAGGGGATGCTGAATGCTCTGAGGTCAAATCCAGGAAGTTCGAAGCTGTGTAAGCTTCTTGCCCTGGCAACAGTATGCTCAGAGAGAGGAGGCATGCTACTCCAGAGTCCTGACTGGCTTCATTTGGAGTAGTTCCCGAGCACTGTCCCAGTGACTCCGTGACACTCAGCATCATTCATGCATCTCCCTGTCTGACACCACTGCCCCCACCCTATGGCCAAGATCTCTCAGAGGGAGCCTTCTTTCCTTCACCTTCCCTCCCTCATCATAGGCGCCGACTTCTACTGGCGCCGGTGGGTGCTCGACCCCCCCGTCTGCCTCCGGCCCCGTCCTGACTCCATCCCTGCCCCGCCCCCTCCCGTCCCCATTCCAACCCCTTCCCCAAAGTCCCCGCCCCAACTCCACCCCCTCCCTGCCCCTATTCCGACTCCTTCCCCAAATCCCGGCCCCAGCCCCGCCTCTTCCCCACCTCCTCCCCTGAACGCGCCACCTCCCTCCCAGAGCTTGCAACAGCTGTGTGGTGGCGGCAAGCACTGGGAGGTAGGCAGAGGAGCGGGGACACGGCACGCTCCGGGGAGGAGGCGGAGGTGAGGTGGGGCGGGGCGGGGACCTTGGCTGCCAGTGGGTGCAGAGCACCCACTAATTTTTCCCCGTGGGTGCTCCAGCCCCGGAACACCCACGGAGTTGGCGCCTATGTCTCTCATTACTGCGCAGCTGAGCTCTCTGGGCCCCTAACCTGGGCAACGCTCTCCATCTCTGGTGGCCGGTTGTAATGGCACAAAAGCTGCTGGATCAGCTGCCTCAAGCTCCAGAAACTCCTGGCTGCAGGAAGAGAATGAATAAAGAGGAGAAAAAATGAGGACAAGTGAGAGACTAAACACAAGGCACCAGGCCTATCCCCTCGCCCAAGGCAGGCTGGGGAGAATTTGGTGTTAGTATGAAAGGGCCCAGCCAGTCAGAACACACCATTCCATTGCTGACTGGGCAAGATCTGGGACAGGCAGAAATCAATCACACTAATCCATGCAATATCCCCTACCTATGGAGGGGAACTAAACCTGCACAGAGAGAGCCTTGGAGGTTGGCTATCCAGAGAGCAATGATTCCAAGGAGGAGCCAGAAGCAGTAGGCCACTCACATGCAAGGTCCCAGTGCCATGCTGTTCACACAGAAAGGGTTGTGGAAACCCTGAGAGGACTTGTAAAGAGGGGTGATGATGTCCAGGGCTTTGGAGCTGTGCTCCGGCTCTGCTCCAGCTCCAGGCAAAAACCTGCAGCTCCACTGCTCCGGAGCTGCTCCATGCTCCACCTCCGGGCTCCACTCCAAAGCCTTGATTTGATGTCAGAGGGTGAGGGTGAGGAACATGAGTCTGGCAGCATTTTGGTTAAATTACAGGGGACCAAAATGGATGCATCAGGGACAGGAATTTGGTTTGGGCAGCAGGGACAGAAAGGGCAGGATGGGATCTAGAGCTGCTGTCATAGACAAAGCAGCTGCTGAATTGGTCAACAGTCTGAAAGTGAGGGGTGAAGGAGAGGGGGTCAAGGATGACACCATGGGCCTGAGGCTGGGAATGGAAAGGACCATGGATTATTCATCCTGATGGGAAGTAGAAGAAAGGAGAGATGATATTGCTACGCAGAGTTTAAGCTGATGGGGGAACACCCAGGAATAAAAATGAGAGAGGGGAAAGCCCTGTTAGGGCACATCTGCTCCGTCCCCTGTTCCTCACGCCACCTCAGGATGGCTCCCTGCAGTCTATTCTGCAGGGCTTTGTCTAGTCTTGTTTAAAATGGCTCAAGCGATGCCCCCCCCCCATTTCTCTTGGGGTGACTATTCCCCAGACAAATAGACCTTTGCCATCTGGTAAGTAGGGGGATTAGCTGGTATACTGCTCTGCAACCACACTTAGCATATAAGGGACCCTATTGTGCCTTAAAGGCACTGGCCCACATTGGTGGTGCTGCAGAAAGGGGAGTGTGCCCAATGCTACACCCCCAAAGGGGTGCAGCGAGGAAGTGCTCTCATCCCTGGCCAGCCGACTCTACTGGCCAGGGTGGGCTGGAGAGTGAGACTATGGTCCCGCCTCCCCTCTTCCCTTTTGGGCGGCTACAAGCACTAGCCAAGAGCCCTGTCTTCCTTGCTCACCCTCGGGGGCTGTCCACCATCAGGCTCTCTCTGTGCAGTTCAGGAGGCACAGAGAGAAATTACATCATGGAGCAACAAAAGTGATTCAGGGATCAGAGGAGAGACATGACTAGAGTCAGGAGAGCTCAGCTTATATGGTTCCAAACAGGGGAAGACAATATGTCACTGTACATACACCCCACGGACGGAGCTGGATCAGTAAAGATGTGTGTATATTCAGCCTCAGGAGATGCACTAAGGAGATAGTCTAAGCTATTAAGGATGAAAATGTAGAGTAAGATGTCAGGACAAGAGTCTCCACATTCAGGACAATGTGGAGCGGGTGGGCAAGTGGTGGTGGCGGCAACTTCACGACAGATTCTCTAGAGCTGGCTAGAAGAGATATTAGTGAGAAAGACGGTGTGATGAGTCCTGCAATGTGAGGGAGCCAGACTTGCGAGCCTGATCTGCTCACACCATCACAAGTCTACGAAAGGCTACAGAGGAAGCCACATGCTTTTTGTATATGGTAACAAGGCACATTGCAGAGAGTAATTTCAACACAATCCCCTTAACATGAGGAGAGCAGATGAGCTCACAGCAGCCAGCACCTCCCCCACATCACTCATACACCCAGATACAGGGTCTCAGATACAGCTGGTCAAACCTCACAATTTTCATTTTGCAAGAAATTTCCACATTTTTAAATTTGTTTTCATTCTGAATTGGAACAAAACAAATATATTCAAAATTTGTGTGCTTTTCCCATGAAACAAATGTCTATACAATGTCCATTTTGGAAAATCTGCATTTCAGAAAGTTTTGGACTTTTGTTTTGGAACTGTGAATCTTCATTTCAAATGTCAAACTTTCATTTTGAATTTTATTTTATTTTTCATTTGTATGCATTTTTTACCTTACTTCCTGACATGTCAGTAGTAGTTGTGCATAATATTGTTAAAATCATTAAGTGCAGCTGCTACTTTAAAAAATAAAATAGTTCCTCTATTATATTATGTCATATTATGACATGTCAATAACAGTAGTGCATTATATGTACTATTCATATGGACATGTCAGAACACACTATAAAAACAGTAAAAATAATATAAAAATGAAAAAAAATAACATTTGAAACAAAAATTCAAAATGAAACAAAAAAATTTTTTTGAAAAAAATTTCTGTAGTAAATTTTGTCAAAACTGACACAATTTGGTTAAAAAAAAAACAAAAAACAGTTTTGTTGAAATAGTTTTTCCTGTGAAAATTTTCTAGCCTCAGCCCCTCACACTCACACAAGCAATAGGCAGTGTGGCTTTCCCAGTGCTGACTGGGATGTGGCAAGCTGGGGCACTCTGGAGGTCATCATACCTGGGGTTTCCTGGGGCCCCGGTGTTTCTGGCATTGGTTTATGAGGAGCCACTGGGCCATTGGGTTCTTCAGGGTGACTGGGAGCAGGAGAGAGTTGCTGAGGTGGCTACCGAAGGAAAGGAAATAAAACAAGAATCACCCTGAATAGCTCCTTTCCCTCCCTTTCCCAGTGCCTCTCTGCTTCAGGGCTCGTGTACGCGTACAAGTGCTGCTGTAGCGCATAGTGACGACGCTGCATACGCTGTCGGGAGAAGCTCTCCCCTCAGTGTAGGTACTCCATCTCCCTGAGAGCAGTAGCTATGCCAGCGATGGGAGAATCCCTCCCAGGGACATAGCACTGTCTACATTGGGAGTTCAGTCAGTATAACTGAGTCACCCGGGGTGTGGATTTTCCATACCCCTGAGTGACGGAGTTATACAGACATAAGTTTCTAGTGTAGACCAGGGCTCACTCTCCCCCGCATCTCCCCACCTCAGTCTCTCTCCCTCCCCCCCCCTCCCGCTTACCTCAGCCTTCTCCTCTTCATCCTCATCCTCATCCACGAAAGCAAAAGATTCGCGCTTCCAACTGGGCATGGCTGCCCACTGGCCTTTGCTGTGCCCATCGTAGGGCGCCTCAGCCAGCTTCTGCTCCATCTCTTTGATGATGCGCAGGCGCCGCTCCTGGCCAATATGCCTCTGGAGAAGGGCCTGCAGCTCCGACCGCTCTACTGAGCCCAGCAGGATCATGGACTCTGCAGGAGGAGATAACATGGGGAGCCAGTCGAAGGACGTGTGTGAGCCAACACTCCCTGCCCAAACTGGCCACGTTAGCCCTGAGGATCCCAAAGATGGTGTGGCGAGAGGTCCTCCCCTGGATGCATAGCCCATACTCATCCCAGCTCGAGGCCTCTGCAAAACACTCCTGACTCCTTCTCCCTCCTGCTACCCAACAGATGGCCCTGACATGACACCCCAGCCAACTGACCTCCCATAAGTCCGAATTGCTGCTGAGCCCTGTCTCTGCCTGACAACAAATCAGATCAGCCGCCTTCTTAAATACAACACCCATCCCTGCAGCCAAACCTTCCTACCATGGAATCATTGCCCCCTCCTGCTGCCCTCACCACTCACTCCCCAGTGCCCCACCCTGCCAAGCTGCCCTCACAACCCCCACAACAAATGCCTATCCCACTCCCAGCTGCCAAACCCTCCTTGCAACCCCCTCCTCTCAAAAGTGCTCAGGCCTGAGTTTTTTCCGTCCCAGACAACTAGAGATATTATAGTCACCAGTCTCTTCCGTGACAGGGGAATCCCTGTGTGGTGACACAAGGCAGCACAGGCGGTGTTTGTCAATCTGGGAGCTACAGAGCCAGAGAGAACAACAGGATCTATCTGTCCAACAGCCTCAGCAGAGAATCCCCTGTATGGCATTACAGCCAAATCCTGTCTCTCTACCACAATGGACAATTGACATCCATTCCAACCAAAGCAGGAAACTAATCATGCTCTTCATCGAAAGATCTCAAAACACTTTATCCATGTGGATATCACTCCCATTTTACAGATAGGGAAACTGAGGAATGGAGAGGGTGGTGGTTTTTTGGACAAGGCCATACAACAAATCAGCAGCAGAGCTAGGGTCACATCTCTGGTTTCCTAGGCTGGTTCCCTATCTTCCAAACTACATACCTCTGGAGACAGACTCTTTCAACCAAGGCCAGCTTCAGAAAAGGTCAGATTCCCCATACTGCTTACCTGGTGAATCCACTAGAGGCAAGGTCTTGACAGTTGTGCTCTGAAGCAGGGTCTGCAGGTCCTGGTATGTACAAGTAGAGGAGATGAATTTCACATCACAGACCATAATATCCTCAACAAAGATATTGTATTTGCTAGAGGAACAAAGAAAATAAAGAGTGGGGTTAACATATCATTCAAATAGGTCTAAAAGAAAAACTTCCCAAAGAGGAAAAAACAAAAGAAGAGCACTTTCAGATATGTGTTTTATACAGCCAAATACATACTTGCAAGTGGGAGTAACTACAGGGGAAGTGAGACCATCCACAAACCAACTGGGTTTCCACTCAGGCAAGGTTCTGCTCCCGCCCATCATGGATGAGCCCCTCCTTCTCCACTGCCCTCCTGCTGTTTCACAGCCTCCTCCCACTCTATTTATGTGTCTGCCACCCCCCATCCCTGCTCCATTTCTTTCTGGCCTAGCCTATACCCCTTGGTTTCCCATTGCCATTTCTTCTGCTGTGTTTCCCCTCCTCTCCCCAATCCCCACTGGTGGTACCACACCTTATGTAATTCCAGCCCAGGTCAGGCAGGTAAGGCAGCTTCTTCACCTGGATGATGCTGTCATAGAGACTGGGCTGCAAACTCTGAGCCACCATGTTGGCAAGGATGACAGCGACCATCATGGGCAGGATGTGGGAGATCTGACCCGTCAACTCAAAGCAGATCACTGCTGTGGAGACGGTGTGGCTCACTGCTCCTGTCAGGGCTGCTGCACCTTTCCCAGTTGTGGGGGAAGAGGAAAGACAGTGTCAGGTGGACCAGGAGATTCGTGCAGGTCGGGATAGAAAAAAGAAAGACATGGAGACTCACCAATGACGGCGTATCCTCCAGGTAAGATTTTGTAAACAATGCCATCAAAGAGGATCCCATCAGGGAAGAGTGATGCCATGATTTCACCAACGAGACGGCCAAATGCAGCCCCTGGAAAGCATCACATGAAGTCACGGGTTAACACCCATCCACCCAAAATGGCTGTGCGCTTCAGGGCAGGGAATATGTGTGATCTCTGCTGATAAAAGCCATTGGTAATTTACTAGTGCTTATATGTGAAAACAAAAACTACATTATGATGGAGTTAAGATAGAGATTTTGTATCAGTAATAAAAGGGCAAAAACCACTCCAGGAAGGGTGTATTTATCCCAAAACACAGAAATACAAATCCTGGAAATTCAGAGTTAAGTTTACACTTAAAATAAATCCAAATATGTTCAAGTCTGAAAATGCACAGTTAAGCCACCCCAATAACCTTAACTCTGCCCTGTAGTGACACCATGCAATGACCATACAATTATGATTACTGTGAGTCTGTGGTCCCAGACTGGACGAAACTGATTTTTGGATCATATTTTAAATGGTGTCCATATAGTGCAAAGTTAAGGGTGTCCAAACTGTGCGTGTCCAGACACGTTTGGATATCTTTTAAGTGCAACCATAACTGAATTTCCTGGCATTGCAATGCTTGGTTTTGGGATAATTACAACATGTTACTCTAAATTACAGTAGAACCTCAGAGTTATGAACACCTCAGGAATGGAAGTTATTCATAACTCTGAAATGTTCGTAACTCTGAATAAAACATTATTGTTCTTCTAAAAATTTACAACTGAATTGACTCGATACAGCTTTAAACTTTAATAAGCAGAAGAAAAATGCTGCTTTCCCTTTTTAAACATTTTTTTTAGTAGTTTACATTTAACACAGTACTGTATTGTATTTGCTTTTTTTGTTTGTTTTTGTATTGTTTCTGCTGCTGCCTTATTGTGTACTTCCAGTTCTAAATGAGGGGTGTGATTGATTGATCAGTTTGTAACTCTGGTGTTCGTAACTCTGAGATTCTACTGGACTAATATGTACTCTCAATACTAATGACATTTTAACATATTTTTTTCTGTTTTAGGATTAACAATCATTAATCAGTCATCAACCACTTGTCATGAGTCACTTAATAATCCATGGCTGAGGTTGTAACGTACTGGTTCTGAGTGAAGGCTTGATGTTGCTGTCTTATAGCTGGGGCCACAGAGACGACAGGGGGCCTACTATTGGTACCAGTGAGGGGAGCTTTTCTTCAGCTCAAGAGGCAGGGACATGAGATTTTGGAACTGAAGTGTCAGGGTTCAAGTCCTGACCCTGTGTCTGGTTTATCTAGTAACTATGTCTGTTGTTTGCAGTGCGCAGTCCATTATGTGGAGAAACTGCAGGAATTTCCAGATCAGCATTTGTGAGTTTGGGAAGAAAGGGAGAGGAGCAGAAGGTCAGAGGCTGGGCAACTGGACTGTTAATGAAGCTCCTCATAGACAGCTTGTGGGTGCCATAATCTGAATTCCCTCTTAGAAACACCATTGTGAGCTTGCTCTCTCTGTCTCCCTGTCAATGATAATTTCTCTCTCTCTCTCTTTCAGAAGCCCAAGAAGGAGGTTAAAACTCACCCAGTACAAAAACAGGCATGAAGCCTCCACAAGGTATCGGCATGGTAGTGGCGACGACAGACATCCAGAACTAGGACAGAGGGATATGGGGTGATAGTTAGTCTGTAGTAACAGCATCTCCTGCAGCTGCACCACACCCTCCAGCCTGCCTTCTTATGAGGAAATGCCTTTTGGGGAATCTGACAGACTCAGCAAGGAAGCCAAGGGCAGCTGGGAATGTGGGGAGCAAAGGAGAGTGGGAGAAATTCATGCAAACCATCAACACCTCCCAGAGACTGTCTACTGCACAGAGCTTCCTAGGGACTGTTGTGCTGGTGGAGAAGCTAATCCATAAGGGATGGGATGAACATGGAGAATTACCTTCCCTTTGATCCACAAAGATGGGGTCCCCCCTTGCCGCAGGAAGTTTTACTTATTTATAAAATGGTGCAGGCCACAACCTCTGGCAGAGCCACAACAAACTATCATGCTGGAACTGGGAACCCCTAAACCTCTCCCTAGCTGATCTCACAGTCACCTTCCTCAGGAAACATACCAGCCTTGTCCCATGCCCTGACGGCCAGCACACTTGGCCTTCATCAGATTAAAAGGGTGAGTGGATTCTACCATTGAGGGCTCCACAGAGAACCCTGCCACCCGTCCCCAGAGAGCTCACATCAAGGGATTCTCAGCAGGTGTGGCCCAGCAGATCTCAGCTGCTGAAGTACTGTTCCTAGGGAGAGAGGCGATCTCTATGGTATCCAGAGAGCAACACCTTGAATTTCCTCTAGGAGAGCTGAAAGTCAGTAAGTGCTTCAGAGAGTGGGTGTGACACACTCTGCATCATGTAGTTGCTGAGTGCCTTTCAAGGGTAGCTTTGTGCAGGGTAGTCGATGTAAACAGGCCATAAAGCCAGTAGATCCAGCCACACCCCCAGCAGACGGAGAACCTCCAAGTGGTATAGAACCAGCAGAACAGCTCTACAGCTTCTAGTGTAGCGACATGCTAGGGGAGAGTAGCCATGGCCTGAGCACCTCCACACTCTGGCTATTCTTGGCTGCTGCAATGGGCAGCAGCCCTGTGGCTACTCTAACACAGAGTCTTGGCTGGTTCCAGAATCTAGGGAGCTGCAACAGAGGAGTACAACCAGCTCTGCTCCCTTTCCACTGAGTAGTGCCAAACTCAGCCCATATGCAGCTGAGTATTGGGGCCAAGATGCAATGCAGTGGAGAATCAGGCCCATGGGCGGCAGGTTGCATAGACTGGGAGAGGCTTTGCCTCCCCAAACAGCCAGGTGTGACCCCACCCCCTGCTTACCACTGCTCCCTGTGTGTGGCTCCAGTCCTTAAACCCCCAGTGCTCCAGCTGGGGAGGCTGGGGCCACGCCACCTGCCCTCCCGGCACTCCTTTGGGCCTGGGGCGGGTGGCTGCGGTGGAGGGGGGCGGAAGGGGCGGGGCCTCGGGCGGAAGGGGTGGGGCTGGGGCTGGGGCTAGCCTCCCCCAGCTGGTGGTTCACGCGCCACCCATGATCAGGCCCAACCTTTGGCCAGAGCCACAGAGGCAGGGCTTCTTTGCGTAGCCTGCTCCTCTCTAACACAACCAACAGCAAAATAAGCAGCCTGAAACAGCTACTCTAGCAGTTTGTCACAGCAGCAAAGAATCTAGAGGCAGGAATGACCTATCAGACTATATGTGAACATTCCCGTGACTCTAGAAGGATACGTTTCTTGCATTGCAGATCAGATGTACACTGCACCGCTACTCCCCATGGCCCACCGTCTCTCAGTTCAAATAAAAAAACCTTTATCTGCATGACAAACAATCCCAGCATTACCAAAAAAGCAGAACCTGTTAGCGTCCGTTGGAAGTACATACAGTCTGCCCAGGATAGTGTATTGGGACCCCTGTGTCCACTGGCCATTATTGTCCAGTCCTGATCTGGGGGATGCTGTCTCTCTTCCTTCCCCCAGGATAACACACAGTTTGCCCTCATCACTATTTTTATGTAAGAAAATCTCATTCTTGCTAGTTCCTATTTTGGAGATTTTTTCTCTTTCAGTCTCAATCTCTTCTCTCAGGTAGAACTTTGTCATCAGCAGATCTCAAAGCACTTTACAAACAGCAGGGTGGTGTCAAGAGCTCTGATCCCCACAAGAGGGGAGACACACTGACAGTCCAGGATGGGTGGGCTTCCTACCTTCATGACGAAGAAGAGCAGGATGATAACAAAGACACTGACTTTGGGGTGGATCCAGATGGCAGATTTCCCTAGGATTTGTGGGTCCCCCATGTGCTTTGCCCAGGTGTAATTATCAAACAGGGAGCTGATGGCTTCCCTGGGCATCAGCTACAAATAAAGAAGGCACAAAAAGTGTCAGTGATTCTCAAAAGATTAAATGGGGTCAATGTTATACACAGGTTCCCCACCAGAGAGGATCTGATTCTCTTTGGATATTTCCTTCTAGAATATGAAGAGTTAAACCTTAACCTGCTCAGAAAAGAGAGAGGGCTTTGGATGGAGGAGAATCTAGTTAATCTCCTCTAGTGTTCAAGGGGTTACATTTCCCTGCCTAAACCCCCTAGGTGGGAGTGGAGGGACCTTCCCCAGATCTGCCTGAAGGGGAGCTTGGAGATTATTACTCTCAGAGAAATCTCTCCTTCCAGCCCAGGAGAGGTCAAACTCTTCCCGAGCAGGAGGCAGGGAGAGATTTAGGAAGGGGACACCTCAGAGTCCTTCTCACTCACCATGGTGTGTGTTTGTTGATCTGGGGATTGGGGAGACGGTTACATGTGTTTCTTTCAGAATTACACATTTACTCCTTTATAACTTCTCTCACCTCTCCAGCCATGAACTGCCCGAACCCCGGCGGGAAGGTCACCGTTGCTATCAGGAAGGTTATTACTCCTGGGTATACAAGGTGGCTGAAACAGGAAAGAATGAAAGAAGTTGAACACAATATTACAGTTTATTTTCCTGCAGTCCTATTTCCTTGGCTGTGACTGTGTCAGATCATACAAGCATGAGTGGGCCTGGGAAATCACTCAATAATTTGCACTGTTCTGTTCACTCCCTCTGAAGCATCTGGCACAGGCCATTGTCGGAAGACAGGATACTGGGCTAGATGGACCATTGTTCTGCCCCGGTATGGCTGTTCTTATGTTCATAATGCTTGCAGAAGAGTCAACAACTAAGGTGCTAGACAGACTACAGAGGATAACTCACTAGGGAATGCTCTCCCCTCTGAGTCAGCACTGACCCCAAGGTGCCAGTGGGTGCTGTGCTGCAGGGAGTGGGGTGGGTGCCCTCCCCGCTGAATCAGTACTAATCCCAATGCCCTAGTATGGTACTAAAGGGAAGTATGTTGCTTAGCTGAGATGTAAAGTTGAGGCAATGGAATCCTTTGGGGCAAAAATATTATTTCAGTGCAAGATATTGTTATTCATCACACTTTTCTGAATTCCTCCCATGCAGCTTTTAGTATTAAACAGAGGTTACTGGGCTCAATACAGGAGTAACTGGGTGAAATTCTATGGCCTGTGATATACAGGAGATCAAACTAGATGATGTAATGGTCCCTTCTGGCCTTAAACTCTATGAATCTATGTAAAAGTTGTTCACAAATATAAATTAAACTACGTGCTTCTCAGGCTCTGCTCACCTTTTACGCTTACTTTGTCATACTGTCGATTATTCTGATGGTAAGCCAGCAAAAGGTGCCATAATGAATCAGCGAGAGAAGATTCTGCCTCCACATCATTAATAGGCTAGCTCATGGGGGGAGGGCTAGCTCAGTGGTTTGAGCATTAGCCTGCTAAACCCAGGGGTTGTAAGTTCAATCCTTGAGGGGGCCATTTAGAGATCTGGGCCAAAAATCTGTCAGGGGGTTGGACTAGATGACATCCTAAGGTCCCTTCCAACCCTGATATTCTATGAATCCGGTTCTTTTGACACGTAAAGGGAAAATGTCACTATTTTCCTTTAGCTAGGAGCTCCTCACTACTCAGACCTGCAAATTGCTAGCTGTTGAGACCACTCAGCAACTCACAGAGTAAGGCCCTTAAAAATTTTAGGAGGCAATACAATATTTTATTTATTCTTTAAAGGAACAATGCTCACTTAAAACCCACATGTTGCAAACAGACATGTTTCTTTCTCTGTGTTGGTAATAATAATTTAGGATTTATTAGAGGTGAAAGATATTTCAAAATGTCCTACACAAATGTCATTATTTTAAAGCGACAAAGTGTCCTGTGGCACCTTATAGACTAACAGAAGTATTGGAGCATAAGCTTTCGTGGGTGAATACCCACTTCATCAGACGCATGTGGTGGAAATTTAATCCTGAGCTGATGGCGTCAAATTTGCAAATGAACTGAAGTTCAGCAGTTTCTCTTTGGAGTCTGGTCCTGAAGTTTTTTTGCTGCAGGATGGCTACCTTTAAATCTGCTATTGTGTGTCCAGGGAGGTTGAAGTGTTCTCCTACAGGTTTTTGTATATTCCCATTCCTAATATCTGACTTGTGTCCATTTATCCTTTCACAGGACACTTTGTCGCTTTTTACATATTCCCTACATAAAAGGAAACTGCTGAACTTCAGTTCATTTGAAATTTGACACCATCAGCTCAGGATTAAACAAAGACTGTGAATGGCTAGCCAACTACAAAAGCAGTTTCTCCTCCCTTGGTGTTCACACCTCAACTGCTAGAAGAGGGCCTCATCCTCCCTGACTGAACCAACCTCGTTATCTCTAGACTGATTCTTGCCTGCATATTTATACCTGCCTCTGGAAATTTCCACCACATGCGTCTGATGAAGTGGGTATTCACCCACGAAAGCTTATGCTGTAATACTTCTGTTAGTCTATAAGGTGCCACAGGACACTTTGTCGCTTTTTACAGATCCAGACTAACACGGCTACCCCTCTGATTATTTTAAAGCTCTGTGTTATCTTTCCTTTAAATATGTCTTTCAGCTGGGACCAAGAACGTGGAAATATTTCTGTCAGCCCTAATTTTATAAATGTTTGTTTTACAAAACTGAAATACTGGGTCAGATTTCAACTGGCATTTTCTCTTTGATATATTCAAAAAATAAACTGTGACTCTTATGAAGAAATTATTGATTTTCTACTTTAAGAACATTTCCTGTCTAACCAGTTATATTTTCTCCTCCTAATAAAAATTGCAGGGAGATGTTAGACTGTCTCTCCTGGACCAAGAAGCTGTTTATGGCTTGTAAAGACAAAAGTTCAGCCCAGAAGAGATTTTCTTCCCTGCAGATAAAAATATCTTAACATGAATTAGACCAGACGTGGGCAAACTACGGCCCGCGGGCCACATCCAGCCCGCGGGACCGTCCTGTCCGGCCCCTGAGCTCCCGGCCGGGGAGCCTAGTTCCTGGCCCCTCCCCCGCTATCTCCCCTCCCCTGCAGCCATGCCACTTCACGGGCCGTGCTCTGGCCCGCCGCTCCCGCTGGGCAGCATAGGTAGAGCAGCTGGCTCTGGCAGGGTGTCGCGGCTGCGAGCTCCTGCTGCTGGTAAGGGGGCCGGGAGCGGGGGGGGAGGGGTTGGGTAAGGGAGCAGGGGATCCTGGGGGGCAGTCAGGGAGGAGGGGATGGTTGGATGGGGCGGAGGTTCTGGGGGGGGAGTCAGGGGATAGGAAACAGGGAGGGTTGGGAGTGGGAGTCCCGGGGGGCCTGTCAGGGGGCGGGGATGTGGATGGGGTCGGGAGGGCAGTCAGGGGACAGGGAGCAGGGGGGTTGGATAGGGGGTGGGTGTCCCGGGAGGGGGCAGTCAGGGGACAAGCAAGGGGAGTTGGATGGGTGGGAGTTCTGAGGGGGGCAGTCAGGGGGCAGGAAGTGGGAGGGAGCGGATAGGGGGCGGGGGCCAGGCTGTTTGGGGAGGCACAGCCTTCCCTACCTGGCCCTCCATACAGTTGCGCAACCCCGATGTGGCCCTCGGGCCAAAAAATTTGCCCACCCCTGAATTAGACTCTTGGGGCCAGATTCTGGTAATTGAGTAGCACCTAACTCCACAGGTATTATCCAGTGTCAGGAAGGGTAATGGCCTCTAAGGCAGAATACTGCTGCTCAAGCACACTCACTATTTGGTGAGAAATTGGCTCAGAGCCGTATGCCGTCGGACACACAGAACCACCTGGCGATTGAGGTAAACGAAAAAGGCTCCAAGGAACCCACAACAGATCCTAAAGTGGAGGAAATGAAATAAAAAGACATGAAGCACAATCCACAAAATGCCATTTATCCACCAGGGAATAAAGCCTAAGTATTTTTCACATATGGATATTCACCTGGCCTTTTAAATGGCAACAAATGGGCAGAATCAAAGTTTGCACCTAAGGCTGCGTATCTCAGTCAGAGCAGCCACTTACTGATGTCACTGGGGTTTCTGGTAAAGGGAGAAAAAATGTATTTGAACCCCCTTCTCCCCCACTTTATATCTTAAACATTCCCATGTCCAAAAGGGGATCCAGAATATGTGTTAGAAGGGGATGTCCAGCCCTGTGTGGCACAGGAACCTCCCAAGGGTGTTCCAGTCTTTTGTCTGCTGCTTTCCAGCTTTTTATTTATTTTTTTGGAGGGTGCCATCTGTTACAGAGGCCTCCAAAGATGCTTTCTGGAGGCACACACACCCCACTGCCCCATGGAAAAACCCCACAGTTAGTCTGTGTTATGTTGGTTGCAGGAATCCAATGGAATGAAGAGGATACCGCTTTTGCTCAACAGTGGAATGTAAGACTTGTCAGAGGTTCCACTTGGCATTTACCAAGATGGAGACGAACCACACTGCACATCACTGTAGCTATGTGTACAAGCAACCAACTAGTTGCTCAGAGACCAGGGTGATGGGAGAGGTGTAAGAAACTAAGAGAGTTTGACAGATCTAACTGGGGGATGAAAGAGGGGATCCGGGCCAAGGTGGAGGACCAATCTGGCCAGAAGATTGGACCAGGAAATACAATCATACTGAGTATACAGGGACTCTGGCCCTGATTCAGCAAAGTAATGGTACCACTCATGTGCTTAAAGGTAAGCACATGCTTACGTGCTTTGCTGAACTGAAGCCTATGTTCCTAATTATTCATTATTTAACCAAAAAGTGTGATGGACTCTCTGTGCTAGCATTGGCCTCTGTACTTCCTGCTGTAATCAGGACCAGGGAATGTAACCTGATAGACAGGGTTGCATCTCATTCACCCAATGAAGTTAAAAGGCAACACACTGGAAACTGGTAAAAGGAAATACTGTTTTCACAGCACATAATTAAGCTGGGGAATTCATTGCCAAAAGATATTGTCGAGAACTCACTTTTCATTGCATGCATTTTTAAAATTGATGAATTTTTCATTTTATGAAATTTTCTATAGAATTTTTTGTCTTTTTAATTTCCAACTCAGTCATTCCAAATATTATTTTTTATTTCAAAATTGAAAAATGACAAAAAGATACATGTCATTTTGAAAAATTCCAGCTATGTGACTGGCCCCACCAATCAATACTGGCAATGGAAACAAAAACCACCCACAACCAACCACTGGGCCTCACAGGCCACAAAGAACCTCTGGCCAAGCTGCACGGGCCACACCTGCCACACCACAAACACCAACAGCCCTACACAAAATAAAGACAAAAACACCAGCAACTGAGTGTTTCACATACAGCGTCTGTCCATAGTTTTCAAAAGAAGAAAAACCCTAATCAGGAAACTGTCACCAAAATGTTCATTTTTAAAATAAGACCATTTTTCAATTAAAAAGTGTTTTGTTCTGAAAATGTTGACCAGCTGCCTTTACTCAAGAGAGAAATATTTTTACAACCAGCCCTTTAACCAAGCTCTAAACTATTTTCTGGGTATAGCCACAAGGAAAATGTAATCTTACTGCCAACCCCAAGCACTCAAAACTCATGAGTCAGGCCCCAAAAATCTTGAGATTGGCTTAAAAATCATGAGATTTTAAAACAATAAACAGGGGAGCTGTATTTCTTGGCCTTCCAGTTTTGGAGCCTTCAATGTGCACTCAGGTGCCTTTTCAAGCTTTTCTTTGAAATCACAATGGCTAGAAACTTACTGTATTTCAATAAAAGCAGAAATTCTTGTGAAATCATATAACTCCAGGACCTGATGTTTTAACAGAAGTGCCAAACAGCATGAGACATAATAAAATCACGTGTTGTCTACACTATGTATGTAACATTTGTTTATTTTCTGGTTTTAATAGAAAACAAATTCCCTGTGGTGGACTCAGGTGGTGCTCTCTCTAATATGAAGTGGATTTCTGTGCTCTCCTCCCCACCACCCCAGCACTGAGGGGAGGTGTTGCTCCTCTTAGAACAGTCTTGTACATTTACAAGCCCAGGAAAACAAAATCTGTTCACCCATGTTGCCTGGACTTGTGTCTTTTTTGTGCTGCCTGAAAGTGAGGAAAGATGCTGGCTGGAAAGGAAGAGAGAGGGGGAGGCGGGAATTTGCTAGGGTGGGGAGAATGCATTTCTAAATGGGTGGGGGATTAAAGTTATGCTGCAATGAGCTTTGTGAGTGCTTGTGAGTTCCAAGGTGGCACCTGGCTTCCTCCAGGGGAGGTTGTTGTCTCCCTTTATACCACACCCATCGCTGTGATTTCTGACACTCCTTTTCAATCTCCGAAGTTTTTTTTTAGTGTCCCATCAGTACACCCCTTTCCCAGTAGAGGGATGGTGCTGGAGAAGAACAGAACTACAGTCTGAAGCACTCAAAAGGCAGCTGCTGGAACTGTCACAGTCCTACAGTTTCAAAGTTAAAGAGCCAATTTCCCTTTGCCCACCCAAACAAATGGACTCACCTACAGTCAGTAAGTGAGTGAACCTTTGCAAGGCAGCCTTAGAAGCAGGAGAACGAACTGGATGAGTGGGATTTTCAAAAGTGCCTAAGTGACTTTCAGTGGGACTTGTGTTCCTAGCTCACTATGGGTATGTCCACACTGTGAGCTGGAGGTGTAAATTCGAGCTTGGGTAGACACATCAGAGCTAGTGCACTACAAATAGAGTGTTGCCACAGTGGCACAGCCAGAAGTGCTGGAACAATTTGTGAAGTGTGGGTGCTGAGAGCCATTGAACCCAACTGTAAACCCTGTATATGATGGAAACCACTTCAGCACCCCTAGTTCCAGCACGGATGGGCATGAGCAGTAGGAGAGGCTAGCTGCCCCCAGTATGTGCCTAGTATCTCAGATGGGTACATACGTACTCAAGCAGCTAGCCCCTCCCATCGCTTGTGCCTGCAGCTACACTCTATTTTTAGTGTGCTAGCTCAGTCAGACCTCGTGTAAGCGGGGGAATGGTTCCCCTATTGTGGGGAACTTTCCCGGCTTATCCACTACCCCAGCAAAATTGGCTAGTGGAAGGATCTGAGTCCTCGCTCCCACTTCCTTTACCCAGAGGCCTGCCTACCCTCGAGGACTCCCCTTCCACTCCCCTGTCTGGCAGAGTCCTTGTAACCCCAACAAGGCTGGGCCCAGGATTCCAAGGCTCGACCCCCAACCTTGCTGTGGACACCTAGGACAGGGGCGAGGGTGTCCCCACTTCAGGGTACTCTTTTTGCACTGGACATTTCCCTGACCCACTGATCATTACATACAATTTAAAGCAAATACAATTCATTTAATCAGCAATTAATTTAAAAAGGAATAAGGAAAAATGGTAAAGGTTAAAGGAAAACACATTACCCCGCTCTGTGGCAGGGAACATTACAAACAGTGCCTCTGGAATGTCAGTTTACAGTCTGTTTCTTGTAGGTCCCAGGCCTCCTTCTCAGACCCTGGTTGTGCTGCAGGGATGCTGGGGGTTGGACACTTGCTTTGGTGGTGGCCACACACCTCCGGGCTTTGGGTGGTGGGACCCTTCTTCCCTGCGTCGGCCCCCCTCGGGTTAAGATCCGCCTCCCAGTCTGGCCTGCAAGTACCCTTGGTTGGGGGTGTTTATCTGCGCTGGGCCCTTTGCCCAGGGTCCCCCCTTGGCTGGCCCCAGTTGCTCACCACACCCGGTTTCAGACTGCTCCAGCTCCAGCCCCAGCTCCACTGTTTTAGCTCTGGCTCCACTCTGCCTCAGCACTGATGCAGCTGCTCTGCCTCCAGCCCCCTGGGCTGCTTCTCTGGCCCCTCTGGCTCTGTGGCTGCAGCCCTGCTCCCAGCACAGGATCTGCTCTTTCCTTAGCTCCGCCCCACTCTGTCTGACCCAGGCAATTCCAGCTCACACAGAGGACAGGACCCCCCTGGCAACCTGACTCCCTGATTAGCCTGCCCGCCCTATCAATCAGGCTGACCTGGAGAACTGGCCTCTCCCCAGTCTGGGGGACTGTCAGTCTCAGGGGCCTGATTTCCCATTGACCCTTCCCCTTTTGGTACTGGGAGCTAGCCAACCAAAACACCCCCACTGAATGTTAATAAAACAGTCCCCTTACACTAGCAGGAGGTACACCTCCAGCTTGAAGTGCAGACATTAGGTGCTTTTGAAAATCCCACTGCAGTTCTGTAATCCCCTAGAATGGATTTTGGTGCAGCCTCCCAAAAGAAGGTGAAGAACGTGAACTGGATTTCTGCGTTCTTCGAATGGGCTCTGGGTTCAGACCCTGTGAACAGTCAAAGAACTGGGACTGGGTTTCCATGATCACTCAAAAGTGGTTGTGTTGCAATATCTCTAAGGGCAAGCCTCCAGAAAGAGTTCTATGGTCTAAACAGACGGTCACTCCATTTTAAGTGAAGATTTGCAATGGAGTCCGCTTGATATCAGTTTAGTACTGCAATTTGTTGAGTCCCTTTGGACTTACCCTATCACAGCAAAGGCTGGCAGCTCCTGCAGATCAAAGGGGAAATCCATTCGAAAGTTAGTTCTGAACAGGGCCGTGATGGTGACTGTGTGAGAGAAGAGAGAGCAAGAGATGGGAAGGGGGAAAAAAGGGTGAGAAAGTCCAGTCTGCATTACTGAATGAGAATATGAGATAGGATCTGTGGGGAAATAGCAGCATGGGCTTGGGTAATTAAAGACTGCATGGCAATGCACACGCCAAATTAAGTGTGTGCAGACAGCTTTAACTTGGGCATTTCCTGCATTTTGAGTGCTTCAGTTTGCATCCTTAATGTTCTTTTAATTTGTGTGGAGAGGGAGGGTAGAGGGTTAATGGAAGAGATGTACTTTCAATCTAACTTCAGTTTGTCAAAGTTTTCTGCTTGGGAATAGTTTCTTATCCTCAGAAGATAAATGAGAATTTTCCTTTCTATTCACTGTATCTCAGTCAGCCCCTGATAAGATCATCCCTGTCACAAACTGACAAGATCACCTCATGGGGACAAAGCTGGGCTCCTCTCTGGGAACTGCATTTACCCAGTTCTCATAAGAGGTACAGAAGGAATTATCACAGTCATTGAAATCAGAGAGGGAAGAGACCAATTAGGTCCCATCGTATCCACCAGCCCCTTCCTACCCTTCTGCTCCCCAACCCTCACTGTGTTCCACTTTAGTTTTAAATGACTCAAGTGATGGGGTTTCCACCTCTTCCCTTGGAGCCACCTTCCCAAGAGTTAAAACTATAGATATCTATATACCGGTACTAATGCAAAACGTTCAAAAGCTAGAATCAGTGAACTAAGAAGGTCTTGCAGCCGATGAGGATTTTGATACAATAGGCTTTATGGAAACATGTTGGAATGACAAAAATTCATGTGATACTGCAATATCTGATTATAAACTATACAGGAAAGGCAAACTAGGCTGAAGAGGTGGGGGAGTAGCTTTATGTCTAAAGGTTTCCATAGAATCTGGAGACATACAAATGTAGAGTGGACAGAACCACACAGCTAAATCTCTAGGGATACAAATCCCAAAATGTAAGAATGTACTACTGGCCTCCTGATCAAGCAAAGGAAATTGAGTGCACAATGTGGAGAGAGATCAGAGGCAGGAAAACCTAATAAATGGAGATAATGGGGGGACTTTAGCTACCTACATATAAACTGGTCAAACAGCACAACATGACCAAATTTAGAGAAACAATTTCTTGACACTGGGGTGATTGCTTCTTGAAACAGTTAGTTCTAGACCACAAGTGAAGAGAGGTTATTCCCAGCTTACTCTTATGAAACAGAGTTGCTAATTCAAGAAGTGACAGTAGCTGAGTCACTAAGTAACAGTGACCACAGTATGAGGCTCAACATCCCAGGGGCAAGTAAGGTACCAAAAAGTGACACTAAACTTTAAAAAGGGAGACTTCAATAAATGAGATGGTTAGTCAAAAGGCCCTAAAGTTGAAAGTAAAGGAAGTAAAAGCCCTCCAGGTGGAATGGATGCAATTTAAAGAAACAATAGTACTCTCAGAAGACATGTGCACCACTGAACAAAAGACAACCAGGAAGGCAAGGAGTAAACAAATATAGCTTCAGGCAAGGCTTGAGAGCCTATTCAAGCCAAACAAAAATCCTTCAAAATTTGAAAATCTGACCCTAGTGAAGCCAGTAAACAGGAAAACAAACTATAGCAGGCATTAAGTGGGAGGGAAATTAGAAGGGCCAAAATGGAGTTCGAAGAGCGAATAGCTGAAGGTGTAAAAACCAGTATAGGGGAAGCAGAAAACTGGAGAAAGAATTGGTGGGTCCCATGGCTCACCCCCAGGAGTTAAAGGAAGAAATTAAGGAAGACTTGGCTGAGAAGGTAAGATGCATCTGTCTTTGCTACTGAGAATGTTGGGGAGATTTTGACCCTGACCTGCTCTTTCCTAGCATTAGAGATGAGGTCTCAGAGATTGAGGTGTCAGAGAAGAGGTGCTGGAACAAACTGATAATTTCAAAGGCAATAAGTCACCAGGCTTAGATGATTACATGCAAGAGTTCTGAAATAGTTTAAAGATGAAGTGGATGAGTTGTTAATAAAAAATACACTCTCTCTCATTAACAACAGCCACTGCTTCCAAAGATTGGAGGGTAGCAAATGTACCTATATTTTAAAAAAGCTCTAAGGGTGCTCTGGGGAATTAGCCTTAGCTCCATGCCTGATAAACTTGTTGAAATTATCATTAAAAACAATATCAAAGTTTATGATCTGACAGGTTGTAACCTGCATGGATTCTACAAAGGCAAGTCATGTCTCATTGATCTCTTAGAATTCTTTGAACATGTCAGTAAAGTAGGGGCCGGTTGAAATTTATTTAGACTTTCAGAAGGCCCTTGACAAGGTCCCGCACAAGATGGTAAGAGGCGAAGTGTTCTCATGGAGCAAAAACTGTCTACAAGACTGATAGCAAAGATTAGGAGTAAATGGTCAATTTTCATCATGGCTAAAGATTAACAGTGGGGGCCACAAAGTTCTGTAATAGGTTCTGTGCAGTTTAATATATTATGATCTGGAAAAGAGGGTGAGTAATGAAGTAGCAGAATCTGAAGATGACAGAATTATTTGAGTTAGTCAGGACCAAAGAGGACTGGGAGGAACTTCAGAGAGACCTAAACACACTAGGGGAATGAGCAACATGGTGGCAAATGAAATTCAGTGTTGATTAATGCAAAGTAACACACAGTGGAGGGAAAATTTTTAACTTATACACCGTGTAGGGTTCTAAATTAACTGTATCAACTCAGGAAGGGGACCCAGGTCTCATAGACAGCAGTGGCGAGCTTTTCTCAATGTGCAGCTGCAATCAAAAAAGCAAACAAGATGCTAGAATGCATAAGGAATGGGATGGAGAATGATATGGAGAACATTATAATGCCTTGATATAAATCATGGTGCGGCTTCATCTGGATTGTGTGTGCAGCACTGGTCACCTCATCTCCAAAGGATATTGAAGAGCTAGAGGGGGCTCAGAGAAGAGCAATGAGAATGATTGCGGTCCTGGAAAAATTCTTGTATGAAGAGAGATTGAAAAGATTGGGACTGTTATCTTAGAAAGGAGACAAATAACAGGGGACATGATAAAAGTCTATGCAATAATGACTGGTCTAGAGACAGTAGAGCAAGAACTTCTATGCTCCTTGCCACTTAACACAACAACAAGGCTACATTCAATGACACTGAAAGGTGGGAAATTCAGAACTACAAGAGGAAATACTTTCCTGCCCAACGTGGGATTACACTGTGGAAATCACTGCCCCAGGAAGTAGTTGCGGCCAAGCACTTAGCAAGATTCAGAAAGAGACTGGACAAGATTAACAAGAATATCCAGGGTTTTCATAGTTAATGACAGTAAGTATTGGAAGGGATGTTAAACCCCATGCTTCAGGCCCTAATTTAGTCTCTAACTACTAGGGACTAGGATGAGGCCTAATATGGGGGGCAGATCTGCATACTGCAGTGTTCTTATACCATCCTCTGAAGCAGTTGGTCCTGGCTACTGTCAGAGATGGGACACTGGACTAGATGGACCATACACAGTTTAACAGCCCCTCAACATTAGGAGATATTTTCCTCATATCCAGCTACTTAATCTCTCTCTCTGTCTCCATTACTGCAGTATCTGAAACATTCCCCTTTACCTCCCTGCACCATCCTGAACAAGCCTCACCCTCTGTGGTGTTAATGTCTGCATGAAAATGCATTTACCCTCTTCTGCTACCTGTAGAGTTATTTTGCTCTTTTTCATCATCATTAGCCAGTATATTTTGCTCTTTCAATCTTTCCCCATAAATCAGTCCTTCCAGCCTCCTAATCAGTTGGTTATTGCACTTGTCTGAATTCCCTCCAATTTGTTACCTTTCTGCTTGACAGCCCAGTGTGAGGCTGTAAATACTGTCACCTCCCTGCTCTGGGATGGCATGTCTCTGTGTATGCAGCCCTACATTACATTGACCAACTGTGAATTCTCACCTAAAGAATCCTCCCAGTTCTTGGGGATTCATGTATCCTCATGGTGAATTTTTTGGGCAACCCCTGACACACCTAGGACTGGGAGGGATCGGGGAGTTAGCTAATTTTTGACATAAGTTTGCTACTCTCCCCCTTCTTTCCCTCTCTCTGCCTGTCATGTATGCAAGGAAGATGGTGGAGGAAATGTCACATCCCCACTGTATTTCTGGATTGAGGCAAAATTGGAGATGAAGTAGACAATAGAGGCCTGGACACCAGACACAGAGGTCTTGGTTCTAGCCTTACCTGCATCCTTGTTCCACACGGCGAGCACTCGGAAGATGAAGGCACTGAACGTGGCTGCGAAGAAACCACGCCAGTAATTGCGCACAGCAAAGTAGGTGGAAGTGACCTCAATGCTGAAGAGCACCCCTAGAGAAAACAGAGATGTTATCACCTGGACATATATCTGGAAATCTCCCCAGAACTTCTAGTATTCTGTCCAGCCATCATTGCCCACTGCTCCCATCAAGTTTGGGTCAAAAAGGTTTTGCAAAGGAGGCAGAGTTAAAGGGATGGCAAAAGTGAGAGGGCAGAGTCTCTTGCTGCTGGAGGTTGTCTCTCTGTGGGGAGGACATACTAGGGAATGAGTGGGGGTGAGGCTGAAACTATAGGGAATGGTCATTGAATTGGGGGTTGGGGATGAAGATATCCTGAGGAAAGGCAAAGGAAGGGAGCAGCCACTTGCCTCCAAGTGGTGTCCCAAAGCAGCAGCCAACCCCCACAGCACAGCCCACAGTCAGGACATCAGTGTAATAATACGGCTGCTACTGGTGGAAGAGACAGAAGAGAGACAGACAGAGAGAAGACAATAGGAAAGAAAAGGGAGAGTGAGTCACAAAATTAGACCAAGTGTCACAGTTTGTCACCAACCCGCTATCACTAATGCTTGTGGGGTGTATGTCCATAATCTCTCTCTCATTCCTCCCTCCTAGACACCTCCAAAATATCCAAAGGGACTGAAGTAAAATTGGGTCTGGAATAAGGCATAGGCACTAGTCAAGGGATGAAGGCACAGTCTCAGCTTTCATTGAAGTACATGTATTTCTAGCCCTTGTGGTTGTGAAAAAATGCCCCAGCCAGGAATTCTGTGTTGTGGGGACTCTCACAGCAGCCACTTCATCATGACTGCTGGTGTGGTGTCAGCAGAGGCCCCATATGCAGACTAGTGGGAGCTAAGTCCTTCCTCCTCCAGTTCAGAGGCAACGCGTGGGGGAGCATGGAGGGGTCAAATGCAGGGCAGGGAGTGAGAGGGGCTCTATCCTCCTCTCCCTGTGCCTCCCCCCTCCCCCTCACCTGGCATGTTCGGCCTCTCTCCCTGGCAGCCATGCAGGAAGTGGGACGGAGCTGCAGCTACCAGGGAGAGCAGCAGAAGCAGCAGAACATGCAGGGGGAGGCGCAGAGAGCCCATCCCCTCACAGGTAATGTGGAGTGGGGAGAGTGCTGTGGCCCTGGGCTGGGCTCAGGGTGGGAGGGGTCACTGGGCAGGGGAAACATGTGGAGCGGTCACGTGACCTCACATTTACCTTGTGCCCCTCCAGTATGGGTAGGCACCAGTTGTCTATTGCCTGTCTGAAGAGAGGGGGTGATGGTCTAGAGACAGGGGAGGCCCCAGTTTGCCCAAAGAGGAGCGCTGGTGGGTCAAACACCAGCTCAGCAGACCACTCCTGTGCGGATGGTCCCTGTGCAGGAGCAAGGCCCGGGGTACACCCAAGTGGGGAAGTGCCTAGGGACCCATCTTGATTTAATCTTGCCCCATGTGAACCCCTGAAATCCACTGCTTAAAAATGAGGAGAGAGGAACACACCATTCCTTGGGAAAATATATATCAAAAAGGAAATTACCTCAGAACAAATCCATTCAAACAGGAAATAACATTAAACATATATCTGAACAAGAAATTACCTCAAAAGGAGCTAGCTAGGACAAGAAATGACCTCTACTTGCTACCGTGGCAGAAACAGGAAGCTAAATCATGGTTACGGACAGAAAAGCCATTATGAAAACATGGCATCTGGGTATTTCTGCATTTATTTGCCCCACCTTCAAGGCTGGTGGGCCCAATCAGTTTGTGAGTCTGGAAGGAGGTTTCTCTCACTGCTGCTAGCACCCCCAGCTCATTCCAGCAGTGTTTGCTTTGTGCATGCACATCTCTGATAAGCAGTGAGGGTCCCACAATCAGAGCAGACTCAATGAGGTTGGCAAAAGCCAAATGAAATGCCTTTTGCTCCTTCTGTGAGTCTATCAGCTCCACATATGAAGTTTGGGGGGCAAGGAGACCATGGGAAGGGATTCTCCTGTGGTGTATCTATCTTTGTAATTGCTATGTGCAACTCCTGTTTCCTCTGTGCTGCACTTCTGCATGTCCAGGAATCTGCTATTTGCTGGGGTGGCTGCCATTTTTGTAAGGCAGAGTTTCTGCAGCCTGTTGCAAAGCACAGACACACACTGGACTGTCCCATGGAGAGGCCACTTTCATTTGTTTCTGTTCTGCTTTTTTTTACCACTTCCCCACAAAAATATTCCTATGGGAAGTACTGGATCCCCTCCCAGGTATTGTCACTGTGGGGTTGTGGTACCCGAGCCCCTTCTAGAGATCGGACAGCATGCTCAGTGGCCAGCACTAGAGGTGCTCCATGCACCGTGCTCACATTGTGCGTGAGCAATGGAGGATTCTTTACTAGGGTTTGGAGACAAGAAAGGGTGCATGTACACTAGGTACAAGGGTTAAACATGTATATTAACTGATGTCACAGTCCAGTAGAGAGGTAATGGGCTGCCCGCAGGGGTTAAAGTGGAGTGGGGTGGGGGCATTTCTCCCCTTCCTCTGCTAAATGCAGAGGGAGCTCCCCCTCTTCCCCCTGGCTTGGGTAAGCAGTGCCCCTCCACAGCTCACCCTGCTCCTTGGCTGGTGCTGTAAGAGAGCCCTCTGCTGTTTTAATCTCCTTTAACCCCTAGTTGCTCCTCTAGTCCATCCCTCTTTTGGAGTAATTAAGTGTTGGCCTGCAGACCCCACTGGCCCATCGTCTGGTGGGATCCCCTTTGCACTGTCCTCTTGTCATCCAGATAGTGAGAGTCTCACGCCTCCTGTTTGTACAGGGCTCCTCCTGTGTGGTGCTGCTGCCGTTCAGCCAGTCACAGCCTGCTTCTCCGCTAGACACCTAGCTCTCATCCAGCCTCCTTGTTGCAGCTCTCAGGCTGCCTGCTATCTAGCCTTCCCTCTGAAGCCAACTTCAAGCTGCCTCCGGCCTGCTGCTCCATTCTCACACACCTACCTCTGTCTCTCTCCCTGAGAAGGATCCCCTGCCCTCTGGATGTCAGGTCTGTTACCAGTCTGCTAAGCATTCAGGAGCCCTCTATTTGCCAGATACTAAACTGTCTGGTTTTTGTTTATGGCAAACAGTAATGAAATGATCTCTTTCAGCTGGCCTGAGCCAAGACTGGGCTACAGTTTATTACTCCCCTCACTCATTCCATCTAAAGACAGGAAGTGAAGTATTTGCCTCAAGGAAATAACACAGTATTTGAACAACCATCAAACTTTGAATACCCTCCAAATTACCCTGGGCACAGTGTCCAGGTGATTGGAGTAGGGCCTTGAGGTGGGGTGGGCACACTCAGACACACACTCAGGACTAATCAAAAGGGAAACATTCTATGACAAATGATCTATGTCTCTTGACTGGAGGCTGTTGCACCTTGTGTACTGTTGCCCTGGGCCTTGTCCATCTAGCCGAAGGATAAATATATCTCTGTCATACGTGTTATTTAAGAGAGTGGCTCTGATTCAGAAGCAAAGATGTGAGTGATTAACAGTCACATTTTTCTCCACAGCCATATTATTCTCTAGCTTACTGATAAAGAGTTTATTTTGCGCACTAAAAATATAACTTCCTGTTCATGAGTATTATCACTTGCTGTCCATGAGTGATGTCACTCCCCACCATTATGTTTTTTGGTCCTTCCTCTCTATTTTGGAAGGTGGTCTTTACTGATTGTGTAGGCGGACCCACCTTTGGACTTTCGGCCTGATACATGGGGACTAAATAGGCTCAGCCATTAGTGATGACACTTCCTGCCCAAATGTCACTTCCTCTGTGGCATTTTTCCCATAATCCACCTCACCTTTCCCCTCTCCCTTGCCTTTCATCCTCCATGATTACATGAAAAAAGAAATAACATTTCACCACAGAACTGGAAAGAAGGTAAGTCTGTGCAGAACTTGTTTTCATGCAGGAGATTCACAGTGAGAGAGTTGAGGTGATGTATACAAAATGTCATATATAAGAATACACTTGCCTCCAAGAGGAGCCCCGAAGCAACATCCAACTCCAACCGCGCAAGCCGCCACCAGGAGTTCGAGCTGCCTGTACACATTCTGGAACAGAGAGCCCAGCCAGAGAAGGGCATGCCAGGGTTAGAGGGAGCACAGCCACAGGGTTAGTCCCCACATCCTCTGAAATGAAGCAACAGCCAGCAGCAAATGCAGCCGTCTCTGCTATCGTGAGCCGGGCTCTACACACTGCCAGTCTTTAGTACAATAAGCTTGTCTCTAATATGGAGATCTGGTCACTAAGTACAGCCAAGGTCAACTGTACTAAAGTGATGTGGTGCCTGCATGCCACCAATCTACTCCTGTGCACCAGTCTCTATACAGATCTGGTCTATATAAACAACTGCTGTAGTTATCTTATATTACACAGCCAGTCTCTGCAGTGAGCCAGTCTGCACAAGCTGTTTCTATTACAGTGAGTCAGTCTCTCTATATAGCATATAGTTAGCCTCTAGGGACACTGCCAGTCTTAATAAACAGCTCATCACTACAATGATCTTTTTACTGCAAAGGCTGTTTCTACAGCAGACATATAGACCACTCCTATGATTAGCAGTGCTCTGTGCATGCACATTCTAAGACAAACTGGTCTTTATGCAAAGCTACTTGGCAAGTCTTTATGCATCGAGGGTGACTACAATGAGGTAGCTTATGGCTTTAGCACTATCAGAATCCAGACTTGCCAGACCATATTCCTAGCCAGTCTGTTCTGTAACTTAGTAGGCCACATACCTGGCCAGTCCTTATAACTTACTGGACTGTATACCTGGCCACTCTCCATAATCCTGGCCAGTACATGTAATGTACTGGTCTGTAACACCTTGGTGAACTCACTGCATTCCCTGTACCAATATCCTGCCCCCTCCCCTGCTATGCCCTCCTCTGGAGAAGAAATCATGTTGCCTCTCCCAGGAGATGGAGAGCTTCAGGATAAGTGCACGCAGAAACCTGTGCCTTACCTCATACACACCACAGAAGATTGACATGAACTTGCTGAGCACAGCAGCACAGATGCTGGCAATGTGCACGAAGGGACCCTGTTAGAGAAGAGAAGGGGAAAGATGATGAGGAAAGAAGGTCAGTGACATTGTGCCACTGACATGGATTTAATAAACACAGATGTTGGCGCACGCTCTCCTCTCTCTCTCTCTCTCTCTGGTCATCTCTGCCTCTCTCCCCCCATCTCTCCCCTCTTTCTCTCAGGTAGGAAATCAGTGATTTGAAGGTATCTCAGCATCTTCCTGTGACGGGTTCAGTCACAGAGACACCCTTGTGAACTGTCACCTGACATGCTGGAATTACCTCTGAGCCCGTTTTCCCTGTCAGCTTGGGACTCCAGAACCCTACCTTGTTGAGCTAGACATGCTAGCCTGCTGCAACACAGACCTAGGTCTGGTCCTCGCCCCCAAAGGTGCAGACTTTAACCAAAAACTGCTCAGCAAGTACTCCTGTCTCCAGAACCCAGACATCCAGTTCCCAATGGGATCCGAACCCCAAATAAATCTGTTTTACTCTGCATAAAGCTTATACAGGGTAAATTCATAAATTGTCCGCCCTCTATAACACCTATAGAGAGATATGCAGCTGTTTGCTCCCCCAGGTTTTAATCACTTACTCTGGGTTAATTAATAAACAAAAGTGATTTTATTATATATAAAAAGTAGGATTTAAGTGGATTCAAATAATAACAGACAGAACAAAGTAAGTTACCAAGTAAAATAAAGCAAAAACACACGAGTCTAAGTCTAATACATTAAGAAACTGATTACAGATAATATCTCACCCTCAGAGTTGTTCCAATAAGCTTCTTTCAAAGACTAGACTCCTTCCTAGTCTGGGCCCAATCCTTTACTCTGGTACAATCCTTGTTAGTTCTAGCTCAGGTTGTAATTAGGGTTTACTCATAGACTTTAAGGTCAGAAGGGACCATTATGATCTTCTAGTCTGACCTCCTGCACAATGCAGGCCACAGAATCTCACCCACCCACTCCTCTGACCTATGTCTGAGCTATTGAAGTCCTCAACTTGTGGTTTAAAGACTTCAAGGTGCAGAGAATCCTCTAGCAAGTGACCCGTGCCCCATGCTGCAGAGGAAGGCGAAAAACCCCCAGGGCCTCTGCCAATCTGCCCTGGAGGAAAATTCCTTCCCGATCCCAAACATGGTGATCAGCTAAACCCTGAGCATGTGGGCAAGATTCACCAGACAGACACCCAGGAAAGAATTCTCTGTAGTAGCTCAGATCCCACACTATCTAGTGTCCCATCACAGCCCATTGGGCATATTTATTGCTAATAGTCAAAGATCAATTAATTGCCAAAATTAGGCTATCCCATCAGACCATCCCTTCCATGGTTTTCTCATGACTGCAGCCTTCTTTGTTCTCTTCCACACCCTTTTATAGCTTTGGCACAAGGCGGGAATCTTTCGTCTCTCTGGATCCCCACCCCTTCTTCTAAATGGAAAAGCACCAGGTTTAAGATGGATTCCACCATTCTTCCTGGGCTGGCTTACATGAACACAGGAAGGCTTGCAAGTAAACAGAGACATTTACAATCAATTGTCCTAGTCAATGGGAGCCATCAAGATTCTAAACCATCATCAATGGCCCACACTTTGCATAATTACGATAGGACTTCAGAGTTATACTTTATATTTCTAGCTTCAGTTACAAGAATGATACATACATACAAATAGGATGAACACACTCAGTAGATTTGTAATGATACCTTACAATAGATCTTTTGCATAAAGCATATTCCAGTTACATCATATTTACACTCATAAGCATATTTCCATAAAACATTATGGAGTGCAACTTCACACTTCCTTTAATCCTTTCTCTATCGAACCTTTTACAGAGTCAGGAAAATGACCAATGGGAGGTCAATGCTGTAGGGAAATTCAGAAACAAAAGCAGAGCAGTGGTAGTGGAGTGAAATGGCCCCTTGTCCAAAAAGATAAGATAGTTATAGCCCCTTCCTCCCCAGGGCTTCACAGTGCCCAAAGAGACACCTATACCTGCCTCCCCATCCCTGGCCATCACTGCACACACACACAATAGCAACACTCACCTCTTTCCCTATAGGCATGCCACTCCCCAGCCCAGCTGTCAGGCCTACAACTTTGGCCACAAAAGCTTTGAGTGTGAGGTATTCCTTGAGGACCACTCCCCGCATGATTGTCTTCAGCTCAGGAATCCCAGACCCTGAAAAAAACCAGAACAGACAATGAGTAAATAAGCCATAGAAACAAGGAACATGCCATACAGAAAAAGAGACAGACAAAAGCAGATCTTCCCTTGCCCCCTGCTCTCACCAACAGCCTGTGGGGAGACGAGGTGGCAGAAGACAGCAGCAAAGAGGATGAGGATGAGGGGGTAGGTGACCCAGGCCAGGTACTGCATAGGGACACTCGGGTGCAGCTCCTTGTACATCCACTTGTAAGCTGTGGACAGACAGAACAGGAGTCAGCGAGAGCAGCACGCCCCCAAAGGGGTTGATGAGCATCAAACAAACCCAGCTCAAAAGCACGGGTTGGCCCAACCGAGAACAATCCAACCACGTCCAGGACTGAACCCCTCAGCAGAAAGGGGTCCTGCCAGCAGAGGGCAGGTGTCACAGGGAGCAGTGTGTATTAGGGGGATGTGAAACACAAGGGTGAATGAACCTGAAAACTGAATTCACCCCAGTAGAAAGAGGGTCTCCCAAAATAGGATGTGGGGTCTGGATTAGAGGAGCTGTGTGTATGTATGTATCTTGAGGGGAGAAATATAATATTAAATTAACAGGACTTCATGGTCAAGCCTTACTGTTCTACCTTGGCCTGTAACTGTTAAATATCCTAAGCTAAGCAGGGGATGTCTGGCCTATGTTTTGAGGAGAAACTTCCAAATAAAATGAATGTTCTGCAACAACTGTGTGACTTTTAGAGCAGGGGTCTCAAACTCAAATGACCACGAGGGCCACATGAGGGCTAGTTCATTAGCCCGAGGGCCGCATCACTGACACACACCCCCTCACTGCTCCCAGCCCTGCCCCCACTCCACCCCTTCCATGAGGCCCAGCCTCTTCCCACCCCTTCCCTGCCCCCATTCCAACCCCTTCCCCGAAGTCCGCACCCCAACTCCGCCCCCTCCCTGCCCCCAGAGGGTGCATGAGGGGTGTGGCAGGGGCTCAGGGCAGGGAGTTGAGGTGCAGCAGGGGGTTGGGGTGCAGGCAGAGGGCTCAGGGTGCAGAAGGGGGCTCAGGGCATGGGGCTGGGGTGCAGGCAGAGGGCTCAAGGCAGGGAGTTGGGGTGCAGAAGGAGTGTGGGATGCAGCAGGGGGTTGGGGTGTGGGGTGCAGCAGGGGGCTCAGGGCAGGGAGTTGGGGGGGCGGGGTGCAGGAGGGCTTCGGGCTCCGGGGTGGCAGCGGCGCACACCGGGGCCGGGGCCAGGGCAGGCTGCCAGCCCTGGCCCCGGCCCCGCTCTGCTCCACTCCGGGAAGTAGCTGGAACCATGTCCCTGCGGCCCCTGGGAGAGGGGGATGCAGGGTTCCTCACGCTGCTTGCTGCTCCTCCAGGTACCTCCCCCGAAGCTCCCATTGGCCGTGGTTCCCCGTTCCCGGCCAATGGGAGCTGCGGGGGGGGGGGCGTGCCTGGAAGCCAGAGCAACACTCTGCTTCTCCCCCCGGCCGCAGGGACGTGATGCCAGCCGGCGCGGGGCTCGAGGGGGGCAATCCCGCGGGTGTAGTTTGCCCACCCCTGGCCTGGAGGTAGGCGGGGGGAGCGGGCGCGGGCCGCTCGGCGGGCCGCAGGAAATAGCCCAGCAGGCCGCGTGTTTGAGACCCCTGCTTTAGAGGATACTCTCCCCTCTGGGTCAGTACTGATCCCAGTGCCCCAGCGAGAAGAGCTGTGCTCAGGGAGTGGTGTGGGTGACAAACTAGGGGATATTCTGCCCTGGGAGTTAGTACTGACCCCAATGTCCCAGCATGGCACTATGGGGCAATGTGCTGCAGGGAGTTGGTGCTGAACATGGGATATTAGGCATAGAAGTGAATTGTTCATGTGATTTATGAGTCAGTTTCATAACACCTGAATGGGACCCACCCTGCAGGCTCTTGGCGCTGGCATAATCCATTCCCCAGCTCACCAGCGCCATGACCAGACCCAACAGAACCAGGAATATCCAGTCTTCTCCAAGCTTCTTGGTAACATATTTCTGAATGTGTCTAGCACAGTCTGTGGATGAGAAAGAGTCTTGAGGCAAGAGGTTAAGCCAGGGAGGGTCAAGAAATATTGAGGAAGCCCCCTGGCTGTCTCTTCTTTCCCTTATTGAGTATGGCAAGATAGCAGTGTGACATTCTATACCTTGGGGGAGCACCCTGTAACCCCCATATTCCTCATTTATATATAATTGTGATCTTGCATATAAAGCAAGCCATGTGAGGTATCAGGGGAAAGGTTATAATCTGCTGAAAGTCATTTTTTCTATCCATATATGTATATAATTAATGCCTATGAAGTTGTGAGATTGTGTTGTATGGTTGTCACTAAAACATGCTGTAAGTTGGGGAATCAGCCAGATATTAGCTCCCCAGAGGCAACAGCAAGGAAAGTAACCAATTTCCGGGTGGGATGTCAAACAACCCATCAACAACCATTGTCCAGCAAGGGAGCTACAATGCAATGACTCACCTGCATGAGGCCACACCAGGGGAATTGCTCAACCTTGCCTGGCGACTCTGCAATGCCCCCAGACATGCCTGGACTTGTGCTCCCCAAGCACATGGGACTGAGAGTATAAAACAGAACTCAGTGGCCACATGCTGGGCCTTTCCCCTGCCCCCACCTATCCTTCAAGCAACAAGGACACCAACTGCGGGGACTGGCCCAGATTTCAAGGGTGAAATCTGTATACTAGGGACTGCAATATCCAGTGGGGTGAGAAAAACTGCTTAATCTATATGTTGCCCAGTCTAATAGGGTTGAAAGTTTAGACTGCGTGCTTATATTTTATTTCTTTTAGTAACTAACTGTGACTTTCTGCCTATCACTTAATAGCACTTAAAATGTATCTTTTGTAGTCAATAAATTTGTTTAATTGTTTATCTTTACCAGCGAGTTTGTATGAAGTGTGTGGTAAATCTGCTCAGGTTTTGCAAAGGCTGGTGTATATCCACTTTCCATTGATGAAGTGGTGAACCAATTAATAAATCAGCATTGCTCGTCTTGAGCAGTGCAAGACAGTATATTCCTGGGGTATAGTGCTGGGAGCTGGGGGGATTTGGCTCTGGTGCCTTTCTCTGTGTGATTCATGAGTGGCTCTGGGAGCACTCATGCAATATAGCTGGGTGTGGGGCTCCACATGCTGTTGTGCTGAGTGATCACAGCGCCTGGAGGGACTTGCTGTTGGTTGCTAGCAAGGCATTGTGAGAGATAGCCCAGGCTGGAGAGAGTTCAGGGGGCACAGTGGTTCCACAGTTCCAGGCTGCACCCCGGGGATCCCATCACAAGCAGCGCCTGTGGAAACATCATGTTTGAGTGCTGAAGGACTTGGCACCTATCTCTCGCTATACAGTACTGCAAAGTCCTCTGCAGTATGGGCAGGATGGGGAGTTTAACCTCTTGTGCACTGGAAGGAGAGATCTCCTCAAATAATCCCACAAGTGTGAGAAAGGCCTCTCCATCCTGGACAGGAGATCTGTAACCTACTGTGTGATGGAATGAGAGACTGCTTTGAGAAAAACTATCCCTTGCTGTCACACATATTCCTGGGGGGAAAGTGGGAAAGGAAATTTAGCCTCTGCTAGCTTCTCCTCTTCCACCCAGTGGGACTTCTTCCTCCTTCTTTTGGAACAAGGCTCACTTGTCCCCCTTTTGCCCCACTTGAATTCCATCCCTCTGCACCTCCAGCTTGAACAGTGGCAGTCTGTCCATCTTTTGGTAATAAAGTGAGCCTGTCTGTCCAGTGGGGCTGAGTGGTCCTACCTTGGCATTTGGAGTACCGCTCCTCTTTGACCTCTGTCTGGCTGTCCCGTTTCTGGGGGCTCTGTCTGTTCCCTTGGGTCTCTTTCTCACTCAGTAGTTTTGCCGCTTCCTTCTGTGCAAAGTCAGAGAGCTGGTCTGTGTACTGCCCATAGAGCTAGAGGAGCCGGCAGAGGGAAAGATGAGAGGGGAAAAGCAGTGTTAATATCCCAATTCACAGACAGACAAAGAGACAGATCCACAGATGGACAGAGAGTTCCACAGACAGTCAGATGCACAGACCCAAGCAAACCCAAACAGAGAAGACAGAAACACAGGAAGACCCAGACAGACAGAATTTGTCTCACTGTCCTTCTCCTCTGCTGGTCCCTACCTATTGGGAGAAAACGAGTTCACACCCACAGTAACTGATCCATTGTTCCCTGCCTACAATCTCTCCCCATCATCTCCAGCCACTTATGACTGGGCGTGATCTCTGTGAGCAGCTCCCCTCCACACCAAACGTGGTCTGGGATTGTGGGTGGCATGAATACTAATACTCCATGTGACTGATCTTCCCTCAAACATGTCTGTCTCTTCTCACCATATTGCTGGGGCCGGGCCACAATCCAGTGCCTACTCCGGGGCTACAGACTCCCAACAACTTCCATTCCTAGCAAGGACCAGCAGGCTCATTTAGAGCAGAATGGGGCTTTTGCTGACTGTCCCATCCTCCCTCCAAATTGTGCGAGAATTGATTTTGTGATCGTTAAACCACCAGTGATAGTTCAAGCTCAGCTTGAATCTCTCAGTTGTGACAAACCATCATTCTCCATTGCCTGGACTTAACTATAGTATCAAAGCTGCTGTGGTTTAAAATGTGGCCTTGCTTTAAAAAGCATCTCCATATAAATGCCATGAGAGGGCTACGTGTTTATCATTTCTCAGATCAAACATATGCAGTTTACTAGTAAAAAACCATTTTCACCTGCTGCCAACTTTGCACATTCAGCCTGGTATTTGAGAGTCAAGCTGGGCTCCTTCCCTCTTCATAAACCATAATAAAGGTTCTGCTACACAAACGATGTCCTCACTGACACCTGTGCAACCGCATTGTCTTCAAAGTGTAGTCTTATTTGTGCCTGTAAACTGCCCCCCACATCCTCCGAAAGGTGTCACAGAGATCCTAATTTGACCTTTATTATGTTGATGTTGTGCATAGCATCTCTATGGATAGTAATTTCATGATCTAATAAGAATATAAAAGTAGGGATCTATTATCGACCACCTGATCAGGACAGTGATAGTGACAATGAAATGCTAAGGGAGATTAGAGAGGCTATCAAAATAAAGAACTCAATAATAGTGGGGGATTTCAATTATCCCCATATTGACTGGGTACATGTCACCTCAGGATTAAATGCAGAGACAAAATTTCTTGATACTTGAAATGACTGCTTCTTGGAGCAGCTGGTACAGGAACCCACAAGGGGAGAGGCAATTCTCAATTTAGTCCAGAGTGGAGCGCAGGATCTTGTCCAAGAGGTAACTATAACAGGACTGCTTGGAAATAGTCAGGGCCGCCCAGAGGATTCAGGGGGCCTGGGGCAAAGCAATTTCGGGGGCCCCTTCCATAAAAAAAAGTTGCAATACTATAGAATACTATATTCTCATGGGGGCCCCTGTGGGGCCCGAGGCCTGGGGCAAATTGCCCCTCTTGCCCCCCCCTCCCCCCGGCGGCCCTGGAAATAGTGACCATAATATAATAACATTTAACATTCCTGTGGTGGGAAGAACACCTCAACAGCCCAACACTGTGGCATTTAATTTCAGAAAGGGGAACTATGGAAAAATGAGGGGGTTAGTTAAACAGGAATTAAAAGGTACAGTGACTAGAGTGAAATCCCTGTAAGCTGCATTGACACTTTTCAAAGACACCATAATAGAGGCCCAACTTAAATGTATACCCCAAATTAAAAAACACAGTAAAACAACTAAAAAAGAGCCACCGTGGCTTAACAACCATGTAAAAGAAGCAGTGAGAGATAAAAAGGCATCTTTTAAAAAGTGGAAGTCTAATCCTAGTGAGGTAAATAGAAAGGAGCATAAACACTGCCAAATTAAGTGTAAAAATGTAATAAGAAATGCCAAAAAGGAGTTTGAAGAACAGCTAGCCAAAAACTCAAAAGATAATAACAAAATGTTTTTTAAGTACATCAGAAGCAGGAAGCCTGCTAAACAACCAGTGGGGCCCCTGGACGATCGAGATACAAAAGGAGCACTTAAAGACGATAAAGTTATTGCGGAGAAACTAAATGAATTCTTTGCTTGAGTCTTTACGGCTGAGGATGTTAGGGAGATTCCCAAACCTAACCTAGGTGACAAATCTGAGGAATTGTCACAGATTGAAGTGTCGCTAGAGGAGGTTTTGGAATTAATTGATAAACTTAACATTAACAAGTCACCAGGACCAGATGGCATTCACCCAAGAGTTCTGAAAGTACTCAAATGTGAAATTGTGGAACTATTAACTATGGTTTGTAACCTGTCCTTTAAATCGGCTTCTGTACCCAATGATTGGAAGACAGCTAATGTAACGCCAATATTTAAAAAGGGCTCTAGAAGTGATCACGGCAATTACAGACCAGTAAGTCTAACATCAGTGCCAGGCAAATTAGTTGAAACAATAGTAAAGAATAAAATTGTCAGACACATAGAAGAACATAACTTGTTGGGCAAAAGTCAACATGGTTTCTGTAAAAGGAAATCATGTCTTACTAATCTATTAGAGTTCTTTGAAGGGGTCAACAAACATGTGGACAAGGGGGATCCAGTGGACATAGTGTACTTAGATTTCCAGAAAGCCTTTGACAAGGTCCCTCACCAAAGGCTCTTACGTAAATTAAGTTGTCATGGGATAAGAGGGAAGATCCTTTCATGGATTGAGAACTTGTTAAAAGACAGGGAACAAGGGTAGGAATAAATGGTAAATTTTCAGAATGGAGAGTGGTGTTCCCCAAGGGTCAATCCTAGGACCAATCCTATTCAACTTATTCATAAATGATCTGGAGACAGAGGTAAACAGTGAGGTGGCAAAGTTTGCAGATGATACTAAACTGCTCAAGATAGTTAAGACCAAAGCAGACTGTGAAGAACTTCAAAAAGATCTCACAAAACTAAGTTATTGGGCAACAAAATGGCAAATGAAATTTAATGTGAATAAATGTAAAGTAATGCACATTGGAAAAAATAACCCCAACTATACATACAATATGATGGGGGCTAATTTAGCTACAACTAATCAGGAAAGAGATCTTGGAGTCATGGTGGATAGTTCTCTGAAGACGTTCACGCAGTGTGCAGTGGCAGAGAATATCTTATTGCCTTTATATAAACATGGTATGCCCATATCTTGAATACTGCATAAAGATGTGGTCTCCTCATCTCAAAAAAGATATACTGGCATTAGAAAAAGTTCAGAAAAGGGCAACTAAAATGATTAGGGGTTTGGAACGTGTCCCATATGAGGAGAGATTAAAGAGGCTAGGACTTTTCAGCTTGGAAAAGAGGAGACTAAGGGGGAATATGAGAGATGTATATAAAATCATGAGTGGTGTGGAGAAAGTGAATAAGGAAAAGTTATTTACTTGTTCCCATAATATAAGAACTAGGGGCCACCAAATGAAATTAATGGGCATCAGGTTTAAAACAAATAATAGGAAGTTCTTCTTCACACAGCACACAGTCAACCTGTGGAACTCCTTGCCTGAGGAGGTTGTGAAGACTAGGACTATAACAGGGTTTAAAAGAGAACTAGATAAATTCATGGAGGTTAAGTCCATTAATGGCTATGAGCCAGGATGGGTAAGGAATGGTGTCCCTAGCCTCTGTTTGTCAGAGGGTGGAGATGGATGGCAGGAGAGAGATCACTTGATCTTTACCTGTTAGGTTCACTCCCTCTGGGGCACCTGGCATTGGCCACTGTCGGTAGACAGGATACTGGGCTGGATGGACCTTTGGTCTGACCCAGTATGGCCATTCTTATGTTCTTATGCAGCATGAAAAGACCCCATCTTGACCCTCACATCTCAGAGGGATTTTGTGATGCTGCTTTTAAAAAGAAAACTCTTTTACTTGTAAACGGAGTACAGTTCATCTGGAATCACTGAGATGGTAAATACTAAGGATATGTTTACACTTTGAGCTTGAAGGTGTAATTAGCAGCTTAAGTAGACATACCTGCACTAGCTCTGACTGAGCTAGGGTGCTAAAAATAGAAGTGCAGATGCAGTGGTGGGAGGGGCTAGCTGCCCAGAGTATGTGCCTTGCATTTTGGACGGGATCATACTTGTGGCAGCTTGCCGTTTGCACCACCCTGACTACTTCTATTCTCAGCGCACTAGCTCAATCAGAGCCATTGCAGGAATGTCTACTCAAGCTGGGAATCACTAGGGTGACCAGATGTCCCATATTTAAGCCCTCCTGCAGGTGTCCTGACTTTTTCTTTAACATGTGCAAATTGTCCCATATTTTCTGTCTCCCCCCATCATCAGTACTGGCGGGTCCTGCTGCTGGCTGGATCCCTGCTCGCCAGCCACCAGCCCACCAGCAGTGAGTGGGAAGGGGGTCCAGTGGCTGACAATGGGGGTGGGTGTGTAAGGCTGGTGACAGAGCAAAGATGCAGTGTGCGGGGCCAGCTGCTCCCCCTGCTGATCCGTCAGAACCCCCTGCTGCATGCTAGCTTTCAGCCAGCAGGGCCCGCCCTGTATCCCATTTCTGGCCAGCACTTGCTGTGCATTGCGAGCTGTGGTGGTTGGTGAGTGTGGGCAAGCACCAGGCGGCGGCCGGTTACGTGTCGCCTCTGCTGCCCACCCATTGGCCCTTTATGTGCTCCCACTCTCACTGTCCTCTCCCTGCTTTGCCCCTTCGCCCCCTAAGCTCCCGGCGGGGCACGTCTGCTCCCAGCACTGTGCGGAGAACCAGCCCCTGGTCGGAGCGCTCAGCTCACCACAGCCTGGCCGTCAGGCTCCTTCCTTCTCCCACTACCCATACGCAAAGTACGCAGCTGCATAGGGCACCAAGAAATTTGGGGCACC